TCTTCACTTTGAGGGTTGGCCAGCGCCCAACGTTTGCGTTGGCTTTCAGTTTTACTGTCCGCGGACTGGGTGCAAGAAAGAAGTGTCCTGCCATGGGGCGAATTTCAATAAAATTCCCAGCAGCTTTGCAATGGAGACTTGTATCCTGCAACCATGTCCCTAAACTCCCTTAACATTTTTTTTCAGAACCCCAAAAAAACACAATAAAAAGGAAAACGCCTCCTAGTTACCTCCTTTTATATAGCCGCCACAGAGGTCAGCATAGCTCCAGCTTTCAATTGACATGTCATGGTCGTTTCTTTTCATTGAGGGATCGTTCCCCATATGCCCCTAATGCTCACATTTATTCGCACATCCTCCGCCTTCTATTAATGCGTGTGTTTTTTTCGCTGCCCCATCTCGCCACAGATTTTCGATGTGTATACATATGTATGCACACACTCCCATGTAGTAAAGCCATGTACACCCTATATTTCCCCGGGTATCCCGACATACAGTAAATGTATTCAAAGTCCGAAAAACAAAACCTGGCTTCAAACGCGTTCTACGGCCTAGCTTGGGGGTTTAAAGTATCTCAGGGTATCGGGTCAACTTAAAAAAATGGGCGCGCAGAACTCTGCATTTGAACCTTTTCCAGTTTTGTAGGAACGCCTTGAAATAGATCGCCACATACTTCTTATTTAAACATTCGCCACAACAAACTTCATGTATTGGAGGCGATGATTTGATTTCTATGCGTGGGAGGCATGGGTAATACTAGTGTGAAATAGTGTGAAGGTGTTAGTCTGGGTTTTCGTTAAAGAGCGCAAAAAATTACGCTGTTGCAATAAGGACACCGTGTTATTTACTAGAAACCCAGATTTTCGTGATTATTCAAAATTACGTAACAGAAAAAAAAATAAATTATGTAACAGCAACTCAGTATCTGTTGTGGCTTGTAATATTATTGGGAACCTTGAACCCTAGACCCTAAGCCCTTTACCCTCCGCCCTAGACCGTAAGCCGTCAACCCCAAACCTTAAACCCTAAATGGGGGATTGTCAAAATTATGGTCCCTTTTGGGTCCCCTAAATTAGGCCCCGTATAAGGCCCCGTATTATAATAGGGACCCAAAAAGGGACCATAATTGTGACAATCCCCCAAATCCCACCTTCAGGATACGCCTGCGGCCTGCGAGCTGCGCTGTGCGGGGCCGGTGCTGCTGGGCCTGGGCTTGGGCGAGTCTGGCACCATCACCCGAGTGGCGGTAGGCTCGGGGTTGAGGACTCGTAGTTCTTCGTAGGTAGATTGAGTAGGGGGTATTTGGGGATCGTATTATAGTACACCCATAGCCATATTCTATCTACCTAAGTGGGGCTATAGTGTTTAGTGTTTAGGGTCGGCATTTAGGTTGGGATTCATGGAGGGTGTATGGTGATTTGGCGTTGAAGCGGGTTTAGTGTCTAGGGCTTCGCAGGTTTGCGGCGTCGGGTTTGGGCTCTTGGGCACTGGGTTCGGCTTTGTGATCAGCACGCTGGGTGGGTGTAGGCCGGGACGCGAAAAAAGTGGAAAGATGGTGATGCGAGGATTAAACACACAGATACCGCGTGGCATGGCAAGGGACATGTGTTGTGTTGGCTGCTGTTACCAAATCCGCTTTTGGCAAGCCTTAGGGGAAGACATCCTGCAGCTAGCGAGTGTTGCAGTGGTAGTTATCACGGGCAAGCTGAGCGAGCATCTCTTCCGGTTTGGGAGTTGGCTTGTTGCCGCAAACAGGATTTGTTTCCTCAGCCCCTGCTGCTTTGAAATCGATCTTCCAGGTGCCTGTTGCGGCTCGTGGAGGTTTTGAATGCAGAGGATGCCCTGAATTTTTCCATGTTTTTCCAAGCGCATGCCATGGTAGCCATCTAGACTGCAGGAATTCAAACGCGTCAAAACTGTTTGGCCAGCTGGCCAGGCTCCTGGGCGGCTGAAAATGGACTCGAGGTCGGTGACGAGGTGGAAAGGAACACGAAGCTTTACTACAAGGTTCCTGAAAAT